ACCAAGAGTCAGACACTTAACTGACTGAGCCCCCCAGGTGCTCCTGATTCTGCTCTTTTCGGGAGCTTCAGACAAGACCGACCAGGACCATGAGTCCCATAGCATGATGAGGCTACATCGAGGATATACTTCAGCCAGGCTCCCCATGCAGAGCCAAGCCAATTAAATCATTAAACTAGGTGCAGCGAGAGGTATTGGCAGCTGCGCAATGAAGACTGTGATGCGTTCACGTATACACCAAGATTTGAAAGCAAGTATTATTCAGTTAAGACGTGTAAGAGCACCAGGCTGGGGGGTAAAGCTAACCGCTCCTTGTCCAGCAGCCCGCCTAATCCCCGCTTCCCGCGAGGCCCCGCCCCTTGCGCTGTTCCCGGAGACCGGAAGAGCGCATGCGCGGGACGGCGGCCATCTTGGCCGCGCGCCACTCCCGCGCTTGAGGGACAGTCGTCGGCTCTCAGCGCCCGCCCTCGGAGCGCCTACGCGGGGAAGGAGGATCCCGAGAGGGAGGCGCGGTGTTGAGGGTCGCTTCTTCCGAGAGTCCGGGCAGGCTGGGCCGCTCGGGCGGCAACGGTAGCCCCAGGGGGAGGCGTGCCGGATAGGCCTTCCCTGGCCGCGGCGACTCCGGCTCCGGCGTCCCCCGCGCCCGGCGGCCTACGGTTGCGTTTCCTGCGGGCGGGCGCGCGGTGCGCGTGTGGGTATCGGTGATGGCATTTCGGTAAGTTCTTCGCTGGAGAGAGGGACCTCTGCAGGTTCCGAGGGAGCACGCGTGTGGGACACAAAATGCAGGCGTGAAGAGATTCGCCGAAGTACGTCAGCGCCCGGAGCTTCGAGTGCTGGAGCCCTTTGAGGGGCAGCGGGAGGCGGGCCGGTTGCCGTTAGCTGGAACTGAATTGAGCCCAAGTACGAGGAGTGTGGACAGGTGGGTTTTTCTTTCGGCTCTTCACCTGGAAATTCGTCCTTAAATCTGTGGCGGCAGTAAAATGAGCATCCGTGGAACCTTCATCCGCGTTCACTCCTGGCTGAGATTTTGTCTCCCGTCCTGGGTGTTGTTGTGATGAACCGATTAACGGCAAATGGCAGACATTCGCTTCACCCCTTCGCGGTAAGCATGCATCAGAACAGCCTTCTACTGAGGACGGCGCTCCACTGCCGGTCCAAGGAAGTCGTTCCATTTTTCCGAAAGTGTCTATTAAAGTTGCCAGCATTTTAAAAAAAAAAAAGTTAATTTTGGTTATTGAACGTTCCCGAAGAATATTATTGTAAGATGTTGGCATTCCAATATGATGTTGTTTTCCTGTGATTTCATATACTTATTTACTTTTAAAGATTTTATTTATTTGTCGGAGAGCGCAGGCAGGGGGAGCCGCAGGCCGAGGGAGAGGCAGGCTCCCCACTGAGCAAAGGACTCTGGGATCATGACCTGAGCAGGAAGCAGAGGCTTAACCGACTGGAGCCACCCAGGGGTCCCTTCCTAGGATTTCATTTAATTGTTTCTTGTAAAGTAGACTTGGTTCTAGAGCAGTACCGTCTAATACATATATATTGTGAGGTACAAATGTAATTTTTTAATAATTTTAAGTAGCCAACTAAGAACACTTTGAAGCCCTGAAATTATTTTTAGTGTGTTTAATCAACTTATCCAATTATCAATATAAATTTATAATGAAGTTAATGACTAATGTAGTTAATAGAGAACTATTAATGAGAAATTTTACATTTCTTTCCTTTTGTAATAAGTTGCTGGAACCCGGTGTGTACGTGGATCTCACTGTGGATGCTGAGTTTTCATTGGAAACTCGCCATCTGTATTTAGCTCTTACTGTTTTGCTGTAGAAAAAGCCCTCCAACTCCAGATTGTTCAAACATACTGAAGAGTTTTTTTGAGTACCTGAATCAATTTTATTTCTAAATTCTAATTAATTAAAATAAATCAAATTAAGAATCTAGTCCTTCAGTCGCACTAGCCACATTTCATGTTCTCAGTACCCAAAGAACCAGCCAGTGCCTGCCTGGTTAGACTGCAAATTTAGACATTTAAATGTTTCTGTATACTTTGTGCTGTAGCTCATCGGGAAGTGGGGAAGTGCAAGTTGTCCCATTGTTTATTAGGAATGAGAAGCATTTAGTCAAGGTGCACTTCTCTCATAGTCACAAATTTTTTTGAGGTAATCCTTGGGTGATACTTGGCAACAGGGGAATCTGTTTCCTAACAGCCTTTCATCCAAAGGTTTCGCCTCGCTTGTCAGTCTTTGCCTCAGTCTGTTTTTATGTGGGAGGGGGCAGGTTACAAAATCCTATTTTTCTTAATTCTGTCATTCCTTCTCCAATCTTTAGCTATGCAGCTTTCTTTTCCCACCTCCCCTGTTTTTTTTCTTTTTGGAATATCACAATATTATCTTGGACTTTTCTTTCATTCACTATTATTTTGACACTGAAACTGTCCCAAATTTGCCCAAGGGTAGTCCTTTTGAATCCTGTGTTCCTTCAACATGAATCCTTTTAGTCTTTAAACCCTATTAGTCTTTAGGTGTAAGATAAATCCCCAGTTCACTTTGTACTTTTTTTTTTTTTTTAAGACTTATTTATTTGGGAGAGAACACAAGAGGGGCAGAGGGAAAGAGAGAAGCATGTGGATGTTGAATGGAAGACACTAGGCACAAATTAATGCATGTCATGATTTTATATGAAGTTTAAAAACAGGCAAAATTATAGTGTTAGAAGTCAGAATAATGCTTCCATTTGGTGAGGAGAAAGGAATAATTTGTATGAGGTATATGAGTGCTTAGGGGTGGAGAAATTCATGATAATGTACTGTACACTTGTAATTCTACACTTGTTTGAATAATTCAACAAAACGTTTGAAAAATGAACTCAACTGTAATTTCCAAGTGTTTGAAATGATCAACAAAATGAACATAAAGCATAAGTAAAAAAAAAAATAGTATAAATAAGGAAGGAATTTTAAAAAGGCAACTTTAAGGGAAAACTAAGAGGTGTGAGGTTTTTTTAGAAAAAGAGATAGATAAACTTTGGGCAAAGTCTGATTTAGCATTCTACCTACTCAACATTTTATACCCTCTGGTAAGACTTAGGGGATTGGTCAGATCGCTTGCATGAGTGTTTCTAAGCTGCCAGTGAAGTAGAGCAGTATCTGAAATATATGCTGAGTTTATTTTGTTTACCATGGAATTGTTCTAGTGTTTTGGATCAAAAGTTAACTGTCACTTTTTAGGCAAATCAGATGTCAGTTTTTCAAGAGCCTTTTGAAATGGTTGTTTTTCTATTCTGTCTTTATTTTTTGCAGAGCTAGTACTGAGTTTGCCAAGAAAAATCCTTGGTGTATCTCTGTGTGTGTTGGGGAAGGCAAAGGATAATATTCCTTATCTGTTCGTATTTTTCCCCTAGCACTGAACACCAACTAATAGGATATGGATTTATTGTTTAGTACCTGCTTGGACCTTTGGAATGTGAAAAATGTAAGGTATTGAGGATTTTCTGTTAGTTCACTGAGCTCTCCTCAGTGCCAAGTGTATTATGTAACAAAGGGAAGGACCTTCATAAAAATTTGCTTAATGAATGAAGGCAAAAGCCGATATAAGGACTTGAAGGAAGGCAACTGGGCCTATGTGATTTTGCCAGCTGGAGGAGCTCAGAGATGTGTGAATTAAACAGTTTGTGCTAGGGATCCTCATGACCACCCTAGTGCTCAGCAATGCAGTAGGACTGAAAAGACTCATGCTGTTAAACCCAGCATGACAGTTTATAGAATACAGATCAGAATCAGCAGAGGGATGAGACATGTGGGATTAATTCCAGAACAAACCAGGCACAAGCATCCATAAGTGTCTTTCCCCAGCGCAGTCAAAGGGGCATTGCTCAATATTCCTAGTAATAATGTGTAACATCACATGTGAAATATGGCCAACCAAGGAAGCCCACACAGTACATTAGATTATTCAGTTGTACTGCTATAACAAAAAATATTTTAGATTGGGTGGCTTACAAACAACAGAAGTTTCTCACAGTTTTCGAGACTGGGAAAATCAGGATCCAAGTGGCAGCAAAATGGTGTCAGGTGAGGATCTACTTACTGGTTAATAGGAGGCAGTCTTACTGTGTTATCACATGGCAGAAGGAGCAAGGTAGGTCTCTGGGGTCTCTCATAGAAGGCACTAATCCCATCATTACCTCTCAAAGGCCCCATCTCCAGAAACCATCACATCGGGAATTAGGTTTCAATGTATGAAGAGGCAGGGAGGTACGGACATTCAGTCTATAGTCCCTGAGCTTTGGTGTCCAGGTTTTTATTGTGGGTCAGTCCTGTAGGCATGCACCACCTGCATGACTGACTGCAGCCACTTAAGCTCCAGCCGGAATTCAGACTGTTAGAACATTGCCCAGAGCCTCAGGCATAAAACAGATGTTCACCATAAATCACATTGTTAGCATAAACTATCGGTCCAACTGGCAGACGAAAACATCAGGCAGGGTATTCCATGGACTCGGTTTGTCTCCCACAGCCCCACCAAGAGTAGATCTAAAGACAGGTTTTCTCAGGAAAGTGCAGGATTTGAGCACCCAGACCTGCTAAGTTAATCATTTCTTGCACACCCGTTTATAATCGTCGTCTGGGTATGTTGGCAAATAACAATAAGCTCTGGAGTTCAGGCTCATGATATAGAGTAACCTGTATTCAGGTTACTGGTCTTCCTAATTGGTGATCTTGGGCCAGTGACTGCTGCTGTCTCAGTGTAGGTTGCCTCAGCTGTGGAATGACAGTAATGATAACTGTGTTGATAACCACATGAGCTACCACTGCTTCTGGCACGTGATAGGTACTCAGTAAATGACGATTGTTATTTGTATTCATGTGGTAAACAGTTTTTAACGGCTTTCACATAATGTAATTTCATTTTCTACAGAGAGCTAATAAATGATGCTTCATGACAGCTGAGTAATGGCTTATTTCTTAAAGACTTGATGATGTGTGGCAAGGTTCCACTGCTGCTTAATAAAGAAGAATTGAGATTGACCTCTAAACTCAGACACTGTCTTGAAGGACTTTGAGAACAAGAAGGGTTCAGGCAGATTTTACTGTCATACCTACAGGATGCCAGCCTTTGATCTTTTCTCTTGTGGTAAGTCCTTATTGATGCTCCTGTCAGAGACTGTTTTACTGGGCCTATAAACAACCTGTCTTGTGGTCAGGGTCTAAGCAATCCTGTTTCTGTGCTGTCTAGGAGAGGGGCTTGAGTAGATAAGAACATCCTGATGTCTATATCCTGAGATTTGGGAAGCAGGGGTGAGGATGGGTATTTTTGTGGGAGAGGGTCTGCTTAATCACATGATGAGATTCATTATTGTTGGCCAAAGAAAACAACAGCTTTACCTCTCTGAACTTTAAATTTCTTTTTCCGTAAAATGGAATTACTAAACTCTCCTTCCAAAGCCCAGAACCCTTTTTCTGATTTCAGATGAGGCAGGCTGCTTGGGTGTTTCATGGCAACTGCATGTGTGTCAATTTAGAATCAGTGTGGAGTAGCTTCTAGCCTGAGTGGGAATTTTGGGGAGCCTAGGTTCTCAGGTTTTATTTCTTCTCCCCAAGGTCACCTTTCTCAAGACTTTTTCTGTCTTCGTGAGGAGAAGTCAGAAGGGGAAAGGATAATGACCAGGTGTCTAACAAATGTTTCTCGCGTAAGTAGGAAATTTATTCCTTTATAAAAGTACATGCTTCTTCCTACCAGGTAGATATGTTTTCTTGTAGTGGAACAGTTTCTTTATGTATACAGGACCTGTCTAGGGACTGAGTACCCAGTTACATTTTCTCAGGTTTTAGGATTTTTTTATGTGGTTGACAGAAGACGTAGGGAAATGATACTGTTATCCCAATGTTTACTAATTCAGTCCAACTCCCATCCACACTGATTGTGTGCTCTCAGTGTGCTATGATACATTGTGAGGGAGTGGACATGTGTTTCTCAGAATGTGTGGTGTTGATGATTCGTTTATTTGCCAGCATTTATGGTGTCTGTAATGTACTCAGTCAATAGGGAAGAATAGAAAGTGTACAGTGTATTTGTGGTGAGATACATTCAACTGGGTGATAGAGGTGCTCTTAAAGTTATATGACTGGATGAGGTCCCCAGTGAATATGTGTAGATAGGAGAAGCCCTGGGAGAGATGATGGGAGAACATGGAACACTGTCTAAGCTTTGGGTCTCCCATTCTCTTTCTCCAGTGAACATGGGTTTAGATGGCAACTACCTGATGCTGGGATGTTTGTGATGGTTTAGGACCCAGTGACCTTTGAGGATGTGGCTGTGGAATTCACCCAGGAGGAGTGGACTTTGCTGGATCAAACCCAGAGAGGTCTGTGCAGAGATGTGATGCTGGAGAACTACAACAGTCTGACTGCAATAGGTAAGGTTGGTGCCATGCCTTCCTTTAGCTTTTTCTGGAACAAATCTTTCTTAAGTGACTATATTCTAGACTCTGTGCTGACTAATGGGATTGCAGTGGTAAAAAGAGCAGATAATTGTTTCTGTTCTTGTAGATCTTATCTTGACGTGGCTTCCTCTTGAAAATGAAAATTTGTTGCTCTGGTTTTATTTTCTCTATGGATTGAAAGGCTTAGAACTTCAAAAATGTTTCCGAATACAAGTTTGAGCATGGGTTTCAGGGGAAAGATCAGCACCCTTTTTGGTGAACAGTGAGAGAGTATGTGTTTGCATTTTAGTTTCATTTGAAAGTTTTTTGGTCTGAAAAACAAAGAAAGTTTATTGGTTTGAAAGGTTGTCACAAACATTTTATTATTTCTCAAGTTATACCTGATAGTATTTGGTATCCCTGGAGAGCAGAATCTTGGTCCTGACTTATGAATTTGTCATCCCTTGCATGTTCTTGTATCAAGCTTTTTTCTCTGAGAGCCAGGTACCATACGTGCAGACGAGGTCTTATCTTTCAGGCGGAGCAAAAAGGAGAGCAGAGGATAGTAGGAAGGGTTCTGCGAGGTAAAGGAAAAGGGAGAGATGATTTCTTTATGAAAAATAGCAGGAGTCCATGAGACCTGCAGTCTATTTGGAAACGTTAAATAGGAAGCTTTTGAAGATGGATTTTTCCTGAGAATGCTGGACCCTTTGATTTCTGTGGTTCCTTGGGTACTTTAGACTTCTCTTTAACTTTTCATCCACTTTTCTGAAATTTCCTTTTGACCTGACGGATCTGTTTCTTTAAATTTTGCATTTAGCTCTTTATTCATTTCCTTTCATTCTTTGCTTTCCTGGTCACACTGCTTTCTGTTCACCATTAGTCTCAACATTCATAGAATCATTTCTTAGAAAATCACCTGCCAACTTCACCAGCACCTTATTATTGCCAAACTCTTAATATAGTCAGAATTCTCAATCTCTGTATGTTCATTTCTTTTTATTTTATATTTCAAGTCAGTCTTCGAAAGTAAGTAGACATTGGCCTTTTTTTTTTTTTTTACACTTTCCTTCCATCATTTATTTCTCCAAGACCTTAATGTTTTTTTTTAATCTTATTTCAGATTGGGAGATTTGTCTTAATACCAAATGGTCAGCACCTCAGCAGAATATTTTGCAGGGGAAAACACCCAATGTGGTAGAAATGGTAAGATCGACAGTGTGTAATTCCTTGCCTTCCACACCAGTGGAAGATTGGAAATTCCATAAGATAGAAAAGCAACATGATAACTGTAACAGACATTTGGGGCTAGTGTTACTCATCCCAAAAGAAACTTTTCTCACGGGTTTCTGAGCCTTAAGAATTTAACAAACCCTTTAAATACATAATTGAGATAAAGTTTTGGGTAAGTAATTTCATCTCAGTCAATTACCAGTTAAACTCTGTAAGAATCCTTGTGAAAGTAAAGACTACAACAGAACTTTTTAGCAGAATGGTCACTTCATTCTGCTTGAAAGCACTGAGGTCTGGAACCATGCATTGCAGTGAAAATGGGAGAAAAAAATAGAAAAAACTTCAGTCATACTCATTTATTTCCTGTGTAGTATAACAGAATTCAAGGCAGAGGGGAGGATCTCTGAATGTAATAAAGCTGGAGAACTTTCATAAGTCGTGACTAATATCTTCATCAACAGGAGAGAAGCCATATTGGAGAGTAATTGTTTAATTTTCACCATTGGGAAGAAGCCTTGAGTGAACACTCCTTTAAGATTCATAGAGTACTCACATTAGAAAGAAAACTTGTGAGTGCAACCAGTGTGTAAAAGCATTCACAAAGAACTCTGCCCTTAATCTACACAATAAGACCCATAATGGAGAAAAGCCTCCTAAGTGTAATCAGTGTGAAACAGTCTTCAGCCAAAATCCATATCTGGTTCACAAGAAAACTTACACTCAAAAGAAACCCTATAAATGTACAACTGTGGGAAAGGCATTCCTTCTTCCTTACACCTTAGAGAATGTGTAAGAATTAATAGTGGAGAAAGGCCACATACCCTTAAGGAATGTAGGAAAGCTTTTTCTCATTCTATAGGCTTTTTTGTACATACGCAAATGAACAATAGAAAGAAGTCTTAGAAATTGTAAGAATGTGGGAAAACCTTTATTTGATCTTGTCTTACTCATCATTTAAGAACTCATAGTGAACTGATGGCCTATGGAATGTAAGAAATTTGAGAAAGCCTTTCCTTGTTCCCCAAACCTTGCTTAAATTATACAACTTCATATGAGAAACATTGTGTTTTCAAGGAGTGTAGTAAAGAGTTTGTTTCCCAAAAACTTAATACTCACATGTGAGTTCACCCTGGAGAAAAAACCATATGAGTGTAGCAAATAACCTGGAAACCTTCACCGATTCTGCAGGTCTTATAAAACACAAAAGAACTCACACTGGAGAGAAGACTTAGGAATGTAAGGAACGTGGAAAAGGCTTTGTTCCTTACACCTTACTGTACATTTAAGAACTCAAACTGGCAAGAAGCCTTATGTTTGTAAGGAAGGTCGGAAAGCCTTTAGTAACTCATCTTGCTTTAAATTCACATGCAAACTCTAAAACCCTGTAATGGTAAGCAGTGTGGGAAAGCCTTTATTTGATCCTCATTTCTTATTCAACATTTAGGAACTCACAGTGTAGAAAACCTTTTGAATGTAAGGAAATATGGGAAAGTATCGAAAGACCTTTTGAATGTAAGGAAATATAGGAAATCATTTAGATATTCCTCATACTTTAGTCAACATAACACATACTGGAGAGAAGCCATGTAAATGTAAAAAATGTGAGAGAGCCTTCACTATTTCATCAGGCCTTATAGTACAAATGAGAACTCACACTGGTGGATGACCTTTTGAATGTAAGGACTGTGGGAAAGCCTTTACTCAGTCCACATACCTTTTTTCTTTTTAAGATTTTATTTATTATTTGTTAGAGCACAAAGAGAGAGAGCAGCCAGCAGAGGGAGGAGCAGACTCCCCGCTGAACAAGGAGACTGATGCAGGACTCGATCCCAGGACTCTGGGATCATGACTTGTGCTGAAGGCAGATACTTAACCAACTGAGCCACCCATGTGTCTCTCAGTCAACATATTTTATTCAACATTTAAGAACTCACAGTGGAGAAAACCCATACATAGATGAGGAATGTGGGAAAACCTTTATTACGACATACTTTACTGTGAATGTATAATATTTCACTCTTGAGAGAAGCTTATGCTTGCAAAGAATATGGGCAAGTCTTTAATACTTTCTCTTAGAAAGCACAGACTAATTCACAGCGAAGGTAACCTTATTAATGAGGAATGTAGGAAACCTTTAGCTCTGCCTTATACTTTACTATTCGGCTGTGATTTCACAGGTATGAAAAATCTTACATAAAAAAAATTTTCATCCCCCACTTTGGGAAACTATGAAAGCACACGTTAAGAGAGATCCCATGAGTGAAAGGGTTATAAAAAAGCCTTTGATTGTTCTTTGTTATTAGGAAACATAATTTACACTGGAGAGAAACTGTAAAGTATAATTGTAGGGAATTTGGAAAAGACTGTGCCAATTGATGTTACATAATAAGTCACATTGGAGATATTCTTTGTGAATGTAAAAACTGTTTTCAGTAAATATCTTACATATATTTATAAAAATTGAAGTCCTAAAGGGTTTTATAAGTGAAAAACCTTTGTGGGACACCTGGGTGGCTCAGTCAGTTAAGTGTCTGCCTTTGGCTTGGGTCATGATCCTCAGGGTCCTGGGATCAAAAGTCCCATATCCTCTGCTCAGCGAGGAGCCTGCTTCTCCCTCTGCCTGCTGCTCCCCCTGCTTGTGCACTCTCTTTCTCAAATAAATAAAATCTTTTTAAAAATTGTTTTGTTACAAAAGATTTTTTAATAAAACCTAGAAGTGTTAAAAAATTTGGGAAAGTTTTAGAGTACAAATCTTCAGTTACTGCATACAGAAAAATTGATACTGGAAAAGAAAATCCATTGTTTAAAATGAGTTGTCTGTGTGTGTGTGTTTCTTTTCTCAAAGTAGACCAGTAGTTTTAAAGACCAGTGATGTTGAACATCTTTTCACATACTTGTCATCCATTTATTTTTGGTGAAATGTATGTTCAAATATCTTTTTTCTTGTTGTTAGAGGGTTTATTAAGGTATAATTGCCATGCATTAGACTACATATTTTAAGTGTATAACTTGAGTTTTGATGCATACACACATCCATGAAATCAATCACTAGCATTGAACAAATAGAATCTGAAATTGCAAACACAATATTTATATTAGCACAACAAAATATGTGCATCATCTATATAGGGAAGACTACAAAACTCTCATGAATGAAATCAAAGAACCAAATAAATGGAGAGAGATTTAACGTTCATGGATATGCTCTGTATTGTCAAGATGTTAGTTCTTCCGAACCTGACTAATTGATTCAGTCCAATCAAAATTCCAACAATTTATTTTGTGGATATTGACAAACTGATTCTTATGTTTATATGGAGATGCAAAGATGCAGACTAGACAACACAATATTGAAGGAGAACAAAGTTGGAGGTCTGAAACTACCTGGCTTCAGGACTTAATAGAAACCTACATCAAGTCAGCTGGTGTTGGTAAGTGAATAGACAGATTGATGGAACAGAACAGATTGCTGAGAAATAGGCCCACATAAGTAGTCAACTTATCTTCGACAGAGGAGCAAAGGCAGTGGAATGGAGTGAAAATAATTCTTTCCAACAAATGAGACTGGAACTATTAGACATCCACATACAAAAGAATGAATCTAGACACTGAACACCCCACAAAAATTAACTCAAAATGCATTGTAAACCTAAGTGGAAAATACACAACTCCTCAAAGATAACATAGGAGAAAACTTAAATGTCCTTGGATGTAGCAGTACCTTTTTAAATATAAAACTGAGAGCTTGATCCATAAATGATAAACTGGACTTCATTAAAATTAAAAACTTGGGCTCTGTGAAAGCCCTTGTTAAGAGAGTGAGAAGACAAGCAGAGGTTGGGAGAAAATCTTTGCAGAAGACACATTTGGATAAAGGAAACATTATCCAGCATATACAAGGAACTCTTAAAACTCAACAGTAAGAAATAGCCTATCAAAAATGGGCCAAAGACCTTAACAGACACTCCTCCACAGAAGATGTACAGATGGCAAATAAGCATTTATGAAAAGATGCTCCACATCATATCATCAGAAAAGTACAAGTCAAAATGAAATACCACCACATATCTGAGAATGCCCTAAATCTGGAACACTGACATCACCAAATGCTTCTTTGCTGGTGGGAATACAAAATTGTACAGCTGCTTTGGAATAGTTTGGTAGTTTCTTATGGAACTAAACATACTCTTACCAGATGATCCAGTATCCAGGGTCCTTGGTATTTACCCAAAGAAGTTGAAACTTACGTTCATTCAGAAACCAACACATGCATAGTGTTTCAGGGGTTTTTCTTTGTTTGCACATGAATGTTTATAGCAGTTTTATTCCTCATTGCAAAACTTAAGTAGGTGAATGAATGTCTTCAGTAGGTAAATGAATAAACTGATGCATCCAGATGATGGAATATCCAGCACTTAAAAGGAATGAGCTAACAGGCCTTAAAAAGACTTGGAAGTACCTGAAGTGCATATTACTAAATGAAAGAAGCTGATATGGAAGGGTTACATACTGTATGATTCCAACTCTGTGACATCCTGAAAAAGGCAGAACTATGTAGATCAGTGGTGGTTGGGGAGGGGCAGCTTAGGGTATGAATAGGCAAAGCACAAGGAATTTTGAAGGCAGTGAAATACCTTGTATGATACTATAATGGTGAATATGTCATTCTACATTTGTCCAGACCTTAGAATGCACAACACAAAAAGTGAACCTTAAGGGACTATGGATGATGATAAGGTGTAAGTGTTCATCAGTTGTAACAAATTTACCACTGTGGTGTGAAATGTCAGTAATGGTGAGGTTATCCATGTGTGGGGGCAGGAGTATATGGGAAATCTCTACCTTGCTGTTCCATTGTGAACCGAAAGCTGTTAGGGGGAAAAAACTGTTAAAGTGAATAGAGACCTTTGAATCCCCAAACTGTGGGCAGGGAGCAAGATGAAATAGGTCTATAAAACCAGTCCATTAAAAATACGGTCCTATAGGAAAGCAGGTATGATTCAGGTAGCAGAACTCCACAGAGAATCATTCCTATGATGTAGTACTGCTTCTTAAGAAAGGAGTAGACAAGATGTTCCTGTCTTTCAGAATTGCTGTGGATCATTGGCTGCAGTAGGCCTCCCATTCCTCCCACTCCTTCCTTCCTTTTTTAATGATAAACAGCCAGCATTTTATTTTTTTAAAGGCTGTTTAGTTTTTTTTTTTTTTTTTTTTAGTAATCTGTACACTCAGCGTAGGGTTTGAACTCAAAACCCTGAGATGAAGAGTCACATGCTCTTGTGACTGAGCCAGCCAGGCATCCCCCCACCCCTTTCTTAACATGAATGTCTATTATGATTATCCTTTTTTCTTCTCATGATTATATACATATATATTGAGTGTGTGGGGAGTAAATGACTTGTCTCTTTACTTCACAAATCTTCAAATCAGGAGGGACATACTCAAGACTAAACCCAAGCACTCTTTTCCAGATTGGACCTGATTTAGATTTTAAGTTTTAGACATAGAGCTTGAGTCTGATACTATGGGCACAAGATTTTGGCATGGTTTTGGTGGTGGTGGTGGTGCGGTTTTTTGTGTGGTTTTTTTTTTTTGCTTTTTTTTTTTTTTTTTTTTTAATTTTCAGCGTAACAGTATTCGTTGTTTTTGCACCACACCCAGTGCTCCATGCAATCCGTGCCCTCTCTAATACTCATCACCTGGTTCCCCCAATCTCCCCCCCCAACCCTTCAAAACCCTCAGATTGTTTTTCAGAGTCCATAGTCTCTCATGGTTCACCTCCCCTTCCAATTTCCCTCAACTCCCTTCTCCTCTCCATCTCCCCTTGTCCTCCATGCTATTTGTTATGCTCCACAAATAAGTGAAACCATATGATACTTGACTCTCTCTGCTTGACTTATTTCACTCAGCATAATCTCTTCCAGTCCCGTCCATGTTGCTACAAAAGTTGGGGATTCATCCTTTCTGATGGAGGCATAATACTCCACAGTGTATATGGACCACATCTTCCTTATCCATTTGTCCGTTGAAGGGCATCTTGGTTCTTTCCACAGTTTGGCGACCGTGGCCATTGCTGCTATAAACATTGGGGTACAGATGGCCCTTCTTTTCACTCCATCTGTATCTTTGGGGTAAATACCCAGTAGTGCAATTGCAGGGTCATAGGGAAGCTCTATTTTTAATTTCTTGAGGAATCTCCACACTGTTTTCCAAAGTGGCTGCACCAACTTGCATTCCCACCAACAGTGTAAGAGGGTTCCCCTTTCTCCACATCCTCTCCAACACGTGTTGTTTCCTGTCTTGCTAATTTTGGCCATTCTAAGTGGTGTAAGGTGGTATCTCAGTGTGGTTTTAATTTGAATCTCCCTGATGGCTAGTGATGATGAACATTTTTTCATGTGTCTGATAGCCATTTTTCGGCATGGTTTCGTTTTTTTTTTTAAAGATTTTATTTATTTGACAGAAAACACAAGTAGGCAGAGAGGCAGGCAGAGAGAGAGGAGGAAGCAGGCTCCCCGCGGAGCAGAGAGCCCGATGCGGGGCTCGATCTCAGGACGCTGAGATCATGACCCGAGCCGAAGGCAGAGGCTTTAACCCACTGAGCCACCCAGGCGCCCCTTTCGGCATGGTTTTAATAGGCAGTGACTATTCGTGTATATGGAAGACAAATAATTTGTGGTAGGCTGTGATGATTTTAAAACAGGGCCCCAAAATTCTTTGACACTGTTCCCTCCCCTTGAATCTGGGCCTACTTTTGACCTTTTCTGAGAGGAGTACAATATAAATGGTGCCATTTGATTTCCCAGTCTAGGTCATAAGAGGCCATACAGTTCCCTCCTGGTTATCTTGGCATCTTACTCTGTTGGGACACTCCCAGTTGGTATGCTTCTCTTGGAAACAAGCAGTTCTGCTCTGACATACAGGGGCTACCTGGAGTGATGCTCTCAATGGTCAGCAGCTGTTCTCAGCCCTCTAGCTATTTCAAGGATGGCAACCAGATGCAGGTGTGAGTCTACACGTATCTCTAGGCCTTTGTCTTTGGAGTCACCTTGAGCTGTGTGAGTTTTCCCAGGTAAGGCCCTGGTCTTTGTAGGGCAGAGATAATCCATTCTTTCCCTTTGTATCTTGTCCAAATTCCTGATTCATGATCTGTGAAAATAAAATGGTGGGGAGTCCACACCAGCAGTTTTCAAATTTTTTTATCTCGGGACTCTTGTATACTCTAAAATTGAGCATACAAAACATTGTATCTTTTGAGTATTTGACATATTAGAATTTAAGACAGATTTTTCATATATTTATAATTCATTTCATAATGTACATATTTATGAAAAAGAACTATGAAATGAAAACCCAAAAAATGTGAGAAGTGAGAGTCTCCTCTTGACCAAACTTTAGTAAGTCTCCTGAACCTTTTCCTAGATCTGTCGGTACACTTATAAAATCCAGTTTTAACAAGAACCCTGCTAAGTCAGTTTAGCAAGCCTTCCCTCCTCCTCCACTATCCTTCAGGTGATTTCTAGTCACCCTGGCCTGTCTTCAGCAAAGATTCTGTTAGTTCAGCCAGAATCCCTAAACCCCTCTTGTTTCCTCTTAGTTATTTTCATCCACTGACCCCTCTTCTGCTCCTTGGCTATAAGTTCCCACTTACCATGCTGTATTTGAGCTTGAGCCCATTCTCCCCCACTGTAAAGTCTTGTTGCAGTGGTCCCTGTACCTGTCTTGATGGCTGAAACAAAGTCTGCCTCACCATTTTTAACATGTGTCATTTTTTTTTTCCTTTCCAGGTGAGTGATAAGCTTGGTCAAAAGATCATTTCATCTAGCTTAATTGATGAGAGCTGGAGTCTCATAGGTGCTTCTGCATTCAGTTTTTTGCCTTAAGTTATTTTAGATGAAGTATATATAGAAAATTTGGCTTCAGTGAGATAAATAGGTAGAAAAAAGTATTTTCAGATAATTTTGGCTCTTTGATCCCCTGCCAAAATTCAACTAATAGTAGTTTCTTAAAGATTTAGTTGCACTGTGGAGTATGAAATTCTATGAGTGAACTCTTCTGTTATATTAAAATCCATTGATTTTTTTTTTTTTTTTGCACTTTGGATATTTTACCCATACGTGATTTTGTGCCTTCATGTGTCACTTGTATAGAAAATAGTTCACTACATTATGCATATTTTTCAAATGTTGACTTGCTATCAAGCATCATGCACTAATATAATTTGATCATAGCAGAAAGGTTTGTAAATGTTGACAAACTGCCAACATTATGGTTGCAGATACATATTTTTTCCAGATTTTTTCTCATGCCTTAAAGGCATTTTTAAGGAAAATTGGGTTTTTTGTTTATCATGAGTATGTGCCAACGAAGAAATAGTGTTTGTGGCACTTGATGCCACTGCCTTGATTTCCGCCAAGGGGCCAACATTTTATCCACCATTGCTTTTGTGTCATCAGTATAAATGTCAACATGATGAAATGGCAAATAATAGAACTATTATAATAGTTCTGACCTCACAGACTGCCTGAAAGTGTCTTGGGGTCTCTCAGTCTGGCAACAACATTTTGAGAACTGCTGTTAGTATGTTTGGGGTGGTTTGTTACACAGCAATAATATCATAACAGACTTTCTTTTTTATGATTAGTCTCTTCAGTGGTCTAGACAGTTAACTGGGAAAATTCTAGGGTCCCATTGTGCTTCAGAATTTGGCTTGCTTTTTGCCCAGGTAGACCTTGGGTGTTAAGGGCTCAAACTGGAGCCTAACTGCCGGAGTGTGGGTCCTGCCCTTGTTGCTTCTGAGCTATGTGTTTGGGGTACTTCCCTTAGCCTCTCCTAGCCTCATTTCCATTTGCTAGATGAGATCATTAATAAGGGAAATGATTTGTTACCAGATGTCAGTGGAAACTTTCTAACAGTCATGCCCTCAACAGGGGCTGGTGAGAGCTCCCAGTTAGTTTGCACTTACTGTATGCTGTGAAATGCCCTGAAGGCTTTCTTTCCATGGACTGAGTCATTTCATCTTCATTACAACTCTCTGAGGAGCCACTGTTCTTATTCTACTTATGTGATTTATGTGACATGAAATATGCACCATCATTTCTGGTGGATTCTAGCTCAGTGTTTTCAGTTTAAAGCATCCAGTTTTTTGAGCTAACAGAGGAACCCTAGCCACTGACTCCAGGCTTTTGGTCTCATCGAGATTAACAGCAGCCAAATTCTGTTCCTCTGGGTTCTGTATTACAAGTAGCCAGATTTTCGGAATTATTGTGTTCCCCTCGGTAGAGAACTCACAATTCAATTAGAACACAGATATCTCCACACAGAAACCCACTGTTGATGTTGCAGCTGACCCAGAACTGCCAGCAGAACTGAATCTGCCCTTGCTCTCAAAACGTGGCTATCTACTAATTGCAAAGAATGTGAAGCATACATTCAGGCAAAAGTGATAGCAGATAGTCATAGGCTGGGCCTTGATAGGAGTGAAAACTAGCCCATGGTTTTGTAGCTGTGACTGAATAATTTTTTGAGTTTTTTGAATAATTTTAATAATTTTTTTCTCCTTATTTTCAATTCTCCCGTTTCTTTTCCCTCTCTTGTTATGGAAATTACACAGGCAATTTCATCCTTCCAATTGTACCTGAACATTGTGTACAGTCTTGTTAGACATCAGATATTCTGGAATATAAGCATGATAATAGTTAAGCACATGACTTTATTATTAAGCCACTTACTCTGCAGATCCGAAAAATGAACATGAAAACCCCGTGGCTGGCACCAGAGACCATTTTTTTTTCCTATCTTTTTCTTCCTTTAACTTTTCTTCTTTTGGGATTTTTTTCTCAATTCTTTAACTGGAAACTTAGATTAATTCTTCACTTTTCTCTAATGTAAATATATAAAGCCTACTTTTTTTTTCTAAGGTCTACTTTAGCTGCAGCTTACAAGATTTGGTAGTTAGAATTGATCGATAACCATAGTATTATATATTTTCTAATTCCAGTTTAATTTATCAATTATATATTTTATTCATGAGTTACTCATAAAGATGATGTTCTCTAAACTCCAAATGTATGGCTTTTAATGTTAGATCAAACCATATGAACCTGCTAAGTTTCCACCATTTTTTTATCTACAGAAATGGCAGTGTTGGGGCGCCTGGGTAGCTCAGTTGGTTTAGCGTCTGCCTTTGGCTCAGGTCATGATCCCAGGGTCCTGGGATCAAGCCCCACATCAGGCTCCTTGCTCAGTGGGGAGCCTGCTTCTCCCTCTCCCTCTACCTGCCACTCGCCCTGCTTTTTGCTCACTTGCTCTCTCTGTGCCAGATAAATAAATAAAATCTTTAAAAAAAAAAAAAAAGAAATTTCAGTGTCATATGGCTCAACATAATAGCTTTCTTTTTTAACTGAATTTCATTTTGGTCAAGGAACATATCTGTATATAAATCCCTCAAAAGCTTTAAAACTAGTGCTCACATCGCAGCACATATACTAAAATTGAAAGCTTTAAGACTAGCTGTATATTATAGGAAGAGAGCTAGTTTTTATAAATACTCCTCTTGTGCTTGAAAAAAATATTTTTTGAGTGTAGTGTTTATAAGTGTTTTAGGTGAAGCTTGTTCATTTTATTATTCAAATCTTTACATCTTCCCCCTGCCCCCGACCTCTTCATCACTGACAGTAGTATGTTAAAGTCTTCGACGTTGATGGTGATTTGTGTATTTCTCCTTTAATTCTCTTAGCTTTTATGACACTGAGTCTACGCAACTTCAGAATCTTTATATATTTCTAGTGAATTGAACCTCTTATCCTAATGTAGTTGTCTTTCATAATGCCTTTTGTTTTAAAATGTGTGAAATCAAGAGGCACTTGGGTGACTCAGTCAGTTAAGCATCCAACTCTTGTTTTCAGCTCAGGTGTTGATCTAACGTTTTTGAGTTCAAGCCCCATGTTGGGCTCCATACTGGGCATGGAGCCTATGTTTTTGTTTTTAAGTGTGAAAATAAACAATTTTGGTTAATATTTGCCTGGTGTATCATTTTTATTTTTGAGATTCAGTCTTTCTGGTTTATTTTTTAAAGATTTTATTTATTTATTTGTCAGAGAGAGCACAAGCAGGCAGAGCGGCAGGCAGAGGCAGAGAGAGAAGCAGGCTCCCCAGTGAGCAAAGAGCCCAACTTGGGACTCAATCCCAGGACCCTGGGATCATGACCTGAGCTGAAGGCAGCGGCTTGACCAACTGAGCCACACAGGTGTCCCATCAGTCTTTCTGGTTTTGTTTCGGTTTTTTTTAAGATTTTATTTATTTATTAGAGAGAGCCCAAGCAGGGGGAGCACCAGAGGGACAGGGGGAAGCAGGCTCCCCACTGAACAGAGAGCCCAGCATGGAGCTAGATCCCAGGACTCTGGGATCGTGACCTCAGCCAAAGGCAGATGTGTAACTGACTGAGCCACCCAGATACTCTTGTTTTGGTTTTAAATGCATCTCATGAAAGAGCATAGAGCTGGAATTCATCTTAATCTAACATGTCAATCTTTGTTTTTAAACTGTAGTTTAATCCATTTACCTGTGTATTAATTGTGATTATTGATATCAGTATTTTCTACTGTCTTGCATTGTGCTTTTTACTTTACCTGCTTTTTTTGTTTGTTTGTTTCTTTTCCCTGCTTATTTTCCTTACTTTTGGGATAATTGAGGGTTTGGGGGTTTTTTATTCCATTTTTTTCTTCTAAACTGTGAGTTAAACCTGTGAGTCCATTCACTTAGTGGTCACCCTAGTATCTTTATCAGGCACTTAAAGTCAAAAGCTAATCAACATCTCTATTCCGTTCTGCAAGAATCCAAGTAGCGTAAAACTGCAGTCATCTCACTCCAAATTTATGTTTTTTTAGGATTCTAGCTTGCTCTTCCTTCTCACAAATTAGACTGTTATTACCATTTTATATGATCAAGGTTCATTTACTTTTACACGTTGGGTCCCCCAATAATGGGTCCATGGTCAAAGGAGCGAGACTGATATATAGCGAAGGTCAAGCAAAGCTTTATTTCACGCCAAGCATCAAGAATCAAACCGACCGTCAAACAGACCAGTCGGGGCCTTGCCTTACAGAGAGGGCAACCCCTCTCTGCCTTACAGACTAGCTTTTAAGGGCAAAGACCATGTGGTTGGGCCTGGCCACGCACAGGTGGCCAATGAAGTTGTAACACAGAGAAAGCTGCACAGTCATGCTAGCTCACACCTAAGTGACCAATTGAATTACAATTACCCTATAGTAGACATTTGAACTAGCCTTTCACCTTGGTCAGAATTGGCGCCCAAAAGGCGCCCAGAGGGCGGGGCCCACACTCCTTGGTAGTGAGGGAGACAGTATGTGCACTCTACTGATTGGATATCTCCACCCGACCCAACTCATCCCTGCATTTGGGCTGTTATCTCCATCTGACCTGACCCACCCTTGTATTTGGGCTTTGTTACCTGGGACCGGTTTCCCCCGACTTGCTTTTAAGTAAGTTGGGGGGGGGGTGGCAGGGTCAATTTAAGTTTTACTGCATAAACAACAAAATGGCTGTTCAGCCAAGGTGGGGCCACTCTGGCTAAATTGGCCCTTACAGGCCCATTTGATTTTTGTTCACTCTACTTTTTTAACATTTCCGTTGCACAAACTCCCATTTCCTGGAATACTGAGAATTTACTTTAGTGATCTTTTGATGGGTAAATTCTCTCAGGTTTTTACTTAAAAATGTCTTTATTTTATCCTTTTAAATTTTTAAGCTTTTCATAGGGAAATTTCAAGCACACATAAGAATAGAATAGTATAGTGAATCCTTATGTTGTCAACACTCAGCTTTAACAATTATCAATATTTTACCAATCTTGGATCATCATAGCCTGACTGTTTAATACACTATCCACATATGGCTATTTAAATTTAAATTTTAATTTTAACACTGGCTTCATTTCAAGGGCTCAGCAGCCTTATGTGAGTGGTGGCTTCTGTATTATGGAGGTAATAGTGTTGGGATAGTGCTAGTAGCCTGTCCACTTGCTTTTTTTTTCCCCCCCCTGGGTTTTTTTTTTTTTATAGCACATTCTAGATATCACGTCCTTTCATCAGTAAATACTTAAGTATGAATCTGTAGCTGGTACATACCACCATAGCATTTTCTCACCTGGCAGACTCCAAAGTTCCCTGATTGTCTCCAGAATATATTTTTACAGTTGGTTCGCTCAAGTCAGGATCCTATCAGAGCTCCCATATAGTTTTTTGAGGTATAGATCTCTTAAGTACCTGTTTCATCTCCTCCCTTTTTCCTTTCTTTGTTAATCAACTAATTGGAGATACTAAGTCATTTGTCTTTAAAGTGTTCTGCATTGTAGATTTGGCTGATTGCTGCATCTTGGTGTTTAACTTGTTTATCTCTGTATTTCCTGTTGAAAGTCTTTAGAAGCTTGGCTAGATTTAGGCTTAACAGGAAGTATTTAGCATTATCACAATACTGAGCCACTCAGGTGCCCCTTCATGATGTCATTTTAAAAACATGTCCCTCAGTCCTTCCTCTTTTCTCTTTATAAACTGCTAATGT